ATATCCGAACACTCGAGGAAATCATCAAAATCCTGTTCAAGTAATAATAGCAGGCGATTCCATGATAAAGCGTATCAATGGATACAAGATGTCGAAGTCTAACAGAAGAGTTCAAGTCTCGACCTTCCCTGAATGTGCCACCCTAGACATGGATGACTATGTTAAGCCAGTATTAAGAAAAAAACTGACAAATTGATCCTACACGTCGGCATAAATAGCCTGAGGGGTCGTGAGAATTCCACTCGTTGCGCAGAAGAAATTAAATCATTGGGAGAAAAAATAAAGAAATCAATCCCGGAGACGGAGCTAGTCGTGTCTGGCCTTGTCACACGTTCAGACGACGAAATGCTAACACGTAAAGTCAATGAAGTCAGCACAGCGCTGAAGGAATCTTGTATTCAGAAACATTGGAAATTCATTGATCACACTAACAGTACAATTAACCACTCAATTAAACTAGAGTAGAATCCACCTCAACAAAATGGGATCAAGTATGATGGCACGAAATTTTACAAACTATATTTACGATAGGAAATGTTAGGATACGGCCATGTGAGAGTCCGTGAGTAATATAAATGCTGACGAACAATCTAGATTAGATGAAGAAATGCCAACAAAAGTGAGTGAGTTAAACGAACGAAGTTATTCTAATTGAAATAGCCTACCATATATAAACGTAGACAAAATACCATATCATCGTGGTATGGTTATGGCTTGTTGGAATATTAATAGTCTCGTATCCCATATTGATATACGAATTACGAATATTTACAAATATTACTAAAATAGACATATTATGTATAAACGAAACCAAGCTTGATTCCACAATTACCGATCAGAAGGTCTGTCTACGATCTACCAGGTTTTGAAATTGTTCGAAGAGACCGACGTGTAAAGGGCCGTTATGGCGGCGGCGTTTCCATTTATATTCGGTCTAACATTAATCTTAAAATAAGACATGATTTAAATTTGGAAACTCTCGAAAATTTGATAATAGAAGTAAAAAAACCAAGATCAAAGTCTATTTTGGTTAGTACTTGCTACAGACCACCTGACTCCCCTGCGAGTCATTTTGCTGATTTCGAAAAAATGATCGGTTCATTTGATGCGGAGAATTTGGAGTATTTCTTGCTTCGTGACCTAAATGTAGATCTCTTAATTGCCAACAACTGTATCACTGACCAGTTATAAATTGACAGACATATTAGATATCATGATTTTTTCTGTATTGGTGTAATGTACTCAGGTGAATATGATGCTTCTGATGTTACTCTGAGTGTATATCCACACTTGGCAAGCTTGAAGAATATGCCTGACCACGGTGGGAATCGAACCTACGACCTTTGGAATGCTAGCCCAATGCTCTGCCAACTGAGCTACGCGGTCTGGTCGGTTCGAGTATGTGATATTTCGGAACAGAATCTAGTTCCTTCGATATCACTGTTATCTAATAATAATAATGATTTTTTTCTGTGTTGGTGTAATGTACTCAGGTGAATATGATACTTCTGATGTTACTCTGAGTGTATATCCACACCGGGCAAGCTTGAAAAATATGCCTGACCACGGTGGGAATCGAACCTACGACCGTTGGAATACTAGCCCAATGCTCTGCCAACTGAGCTACCCGGTCTGGTTGGTTCGAGTAGGTGATATTTCAGAACAGAATCTACTTCCTTCGATTTCATTTTTATCTAATAATATCATGATTTTTTTCTGTGTTGGTGTAATGTACTCAGGTGAATATGATGCTTCTGATGTTACTCCTACTAGTATTCCAAAGGTCATAGGTTCGATTCCCACCGTGGTCAGGCATATTTTTCAAGCTTGCCCGGTGTGGATATACACTCAGAGAGACATCAGAAACATCATATTCACCTGAGTACATTACACCAACACAGAAAAAAATCATGATTATTATTAGATAACAATGATATCGAAGGAACTAGATTCTGT